GCTCTATCCGTTTCCTGGAGAAAAAAAAAAAGAACAATTTCCTCCCTCACAGAGCGTCCGTGTTTACTCTCTCAGTCATGTACCTGCAGGTTTCAGTGCAGAGCTTGTAGTTAAAGGGGAAGTGGCAGAGACGCATTAACCTTTATTTTGTTATTATGGTACAAACTATCAGCCCAGAGACCTCACACTGTAGGTAGACAGACACTCCTTCCTGGATTGTTCAAACATTGTAGCTTCTTTTCATGACCATCAGCTTACATACGCGTGTAACTGTGATAAACAATGTAATCTTGCATGGGAGGAACTGACACTACAAAGACTGTTTCATAGTAATATAACACGGGATGGCTTTTATTTGATTTGAAAGTTGTGTCCTCTATTTTTGTCGGTTTTAATTGTTTTATAAGGCAGTGATGTGTCCTAATGCTGAAACTGGATCAGGTGTGGTTCACTTCAGTTCTCTCTCTCTCTCTCTCTCTCCTTCCCTGCTCCTTTGTTCAGCTAATCTTGACAAGATTATTCATCGAAACCTGCCATGCAGGCCGGTACGACTTTAGATTTTTTTAGGTGCAGATCAGAACAATAGGGCACAGCATGTTTCTCTAGCTAACTCCCAATATGTCGACTGTTAATGGTACTGTTTGGTCCGCCAATGTGTATATGGGTACGTAGTCAGGTCATTTTGATTTAACTGTTGTATATGTGGTACGTTGTCCGGCCAGTACGATAACTCCAAGGTACACTGTCTTCAGCTCACTGGTGTCGGCACCTTCAGCCATCAGCTTGGTCCTGTCCTGCTTTTGCACATTGCTGAGGATCAGGAGAGATCTTCTGGGACTAATCTGATGACCACAATGATGAGAATGATATTGTACATGAATTCTAGCGGTCTGTATTTTGATACTTGAATGATTTTTGCTTTTATAGATATCTATATATATATGTATATGTATGTATGTACGTATGTAATTTTTGACGTTTGTCAAAAAAGAGAAAAGGACTATGTCTTATAAAGTTAAACATATCGTGAATAAATACCCTGTGATTTAAAAAAAAAAAAAAAAAAACTATGTCTTATAAAGTTAAACATATCGTGAATAAATACCCTGTGATTTAAAAAAAAAAAAAAAAAAAGGCTGAGAAAATGACTCAGAAGAGGGACCTCAATTCAGAAAAAAAAAGATTGTAAATAATCTTGGGCTTCCAGTCTTTTTTATGATTATTTTTCATAATTGTACAACTAATAAATGGCGCAGTTAGAATCACTGTCCCTGTCGGCTGTTTATTTGTCCATTCAGTGTTCTTGTTTTTATTGTTTTTGGTCCAGAATTTGCAGAATCATCCGTCTGATTTTGTACCGTTCCTCTGCAGTCATTACAGCCAAGGACACTCTGTGTACCGACGCCTGCAGAGTGTCTCCATTTGTCTGAGGGCAAACCAGGTCAGCGGATGTGCCCTCTGCATCCATTTCATTAACTTTTCTCGGCTGAAGGATGGATAGCAACAGATCAAAGGCAGCTCAGGTGTAGCCACCAGCTACAGAAGATAAAGAACAGAGCTGACACTAATATATTACAGCTGACTGCCTCTTCTGTCAGTCTAAACAACAACAAGCTGCTGCACCAAGCCGAGGCTGCAGGGACACGAGAGCCCAAACAACATTTTATCAGAAACTCACTAACTTAAATTCTAGCACCAAACTCCTGTGCTCTGTGGAGTTTGTGTGCTTTTCTACTTTTATCAGCTGAGGTTAATTCAAATATTGTACATTTTCCAAATTGCGCCGGCACCCAGGTTGTGCTTTGACAATTTTTTTTTATTTGTTATAAGGGAAATGATTCAAGAGAAGAAAATTACTACAGCTTATAATTCATATGCCAACCGCTTTAAAATACATCATCGACAAGTCACGTAGCGGTTGGTTTAAAAGAATTCTGAAGTTTCTTTTTTGGTTGAATTAAAGTCTTAGTAATGGAATTCAACTCAGTTTGCAACACATAGTTATCAAAGCAATTAAGTCAACATTTATGTTACCAGATGGTTTTTTATTTATTTATTTTTTTAATCTTATTTCTTTTATTTTTCAGGAACATTGCCATAAAGTGTTTTTTACTTTGACACTTTTATACTGCTGTTAGTCTTTCTAATGAATCTGAAACTGCTCATTGATTTAGGCTTTTACGCTCATAATGGTGAAGTAATATTGCTGTGAGTTGATGAGGTGATATTATCTTTGAATTGCCTCAAAGTATGTCTACAGCTTATCTTGGATGTGATTGCTGGTATGCAACAAACTGTGTCGTCACTGGTCCACAATGAAAACCACAACAAAAGGACAGATCAGAGGATGATAGGAATATGAGCTCACGGATCTGTGACAGGTGACAGCAGACATCACAGACACTTGATTGTCAGACTGATCAGATAATTCTTTAACAGACTCACACAGACTTGTGTGGCATGCAACCTAACCTGACCCAAACACTGAGAGTAATTTCTGGAAAAAAAGAAATGTTTTGTGATACTAATTTTTCATATAGACACTGATGTTGAACTGAAGTTACCTTGTCAGCTCCCAGCTGATGTATTACACTCTGGAGCTGTATTCTCTGCTGGCAGATAATGCTGGTCGTCCATTACTTTTGTCCAGAATGAAATGCCGCGGCAACGACTGGATGGATTGCCATGTAATATTTAAAGACATTCATGATCCCCTGAGGCTAAAGCCTTCTGACTGCGTTTAACCGTCTGGCTTTTCCACCACCATGAGCTGACGTTTAATGGTCTGTAATAAAGTATCTTAACAGCTAGAGGGACGGACGTTTGCTACGGATACCAACGTTTCTAAAAGGATCATTTTGAAGCTCTTCTGACTTTTACACCATGACATGTTTAGATTTTACTAATAATTGCAGTTACATTTAAACAGATCTTCATGTTCCCCTGTGGATGTAGGATTTTGGTGAAGCTTAACTTTTAAGTTAGCAACATCATCAGGTCAGAACTTGATTTTGCCCAGTACTTTATTTATGTCCAGCTTTAATAACTGCAAAACTACAAACAGTTCAATTGGCCTTAGCTGTACTTCCACTTTACATAACCTGACTCCCTGTTTTCTCTCTCCTGTAGTTTCTGTATTGTCCTCTCTGCAGCGATCTCTGCCTCCTGAGCTACACTGTTCCGATCCACGGTTATTGACCTCACCAGTCGACTCAGTGTTTGCTGTTCTCTAATGTGCTGTTTGTCTGTTTTACTCTGCTACCCTTTTCTCTCCCTTTAACCCTCATGCCAGGAGTTCCAGGCTTTGCTGGAGGAGTTTTTTTTTCTGTTAAAGGGGAGTTTTTTTTTTTCTTCCCAGTGTTGCCAAACATCTTGCTCATTGCTAGGTTTTTCTTCACCTCTCTTCTTGGGTTTCTTTCTCTTTACTATGTGAAGTAGCCTGAGATGAACTATGTTGTGAACTGCTGCTATAAATGCAGCATTCACATGGTCTTTATTTTCTTTTGTTATGGTTTGAAAGGAGTTCAATTTGGTCAGTTGTGTACAAAAACTGTTTGAGCTGTTCAACTTGTGACAAATTCTCAAACACTGAGTCAATCCACACCCTAGTCAGGTGCAGCATTAAAGTACAATGATCAGACAGTGTGACCAGTACACAGACACTCCTTTGACCAGTGACTTTAAACGGTCGCCATACAATGCAGCTTTATTCAAATGACACAATGCCATGGATGACAAAAGAAGGATGAGCATGGGCTGTTGGCATGATGGATGCTAGCATGTTACGATGGGCGTTGTGATGGGGCCACAGAAAATCTTGGTTTGCCACTCAAAAACCAAAAGGCATGACTGAATGTCAGGAATTCTATTATGCTGTTGAAGTGTGTGGCTAGTTGAAAGCTATGTCAACACGAGAGTTAAGAAATCACATACTGACACACTTTGGTTTCTTATTTTACAGTGAAGATGACGAATTATCTGATGTATATGGACTCCTAAGATGCTGTTAGCATGTGGTTTTTTGGGTGACCACTGTTTAAAACTGCCTGCTGCTACACGTAAATGTTACGATGTTATGTTAGAATTGTTGAATTTAATAAAATATTACATGCTGCAGTTATGCTTTTGTTCCATATGTATTGTGTTTAGGGCCTAATAACATGCTAAATGGCGATTTAAAAAAAAGATTTCCTGCAAATACCTATATTAGCATGCTGATGTTAGCATTTTTTCTTTGCCCCTACATAAGAAATGGCAGAATATGACAGAATATAACATGCCATTTTTTTTTTTAGTTTTGTTCAGTAAAGTTTGTGTCTAGTGCTAATTAGCAAATGCTAACATGCTAAATACAAATGCCAAACATAACATATTTATGTTAGCATGCAGATGGTAGCATTTGGCTGTGTCCCTGTGTGGAAAAAAATGGACAGAGTTTGATAAATGATTACATACCACGTTTATAGTTTTATTTAGCATAATTTGTGTTTTCTACTACCACACCAAAACAATGTGGCAAACATTACCTGCTAATACATGTTAACATGCTGATGTTAACATTTGGCTTTGCCCCTATTGTGCAAAGAATGGACAGCATTTTAAAGAATATTTCAGAGTATTTATATTTTTGTATAGTATTTTTTTTTTTACCTGCTAAACTAAGACGCAAACATTCCCTGTTAATGCTTTGCAAGTTAATGTGAGCATTTAGCTCAAAGCACTACCTTATTATTAACATGATATTTATCTTATGATATACATGGTTGTCATATTTTTATCCTTTCAACTCTTGCATGTAAAATAAAATAATCAGAATGATTCCCCTCCAGTCGGCTGCTGTTATTCTATTGGCTGCTGCTCGGCAACGTCTCAGTCAAGCCGCTCGCTGATTGGCCACACACCAACCTGTGCGGAAGTTAATTACCTCACCTGGCTGCGAGTTTTTCCACCTGCTCGTCTGGGGCTGCTCGAGTTGTAGTTTTACTTCCAGGAACGCAGCAGCAGTCGGAGCTGTGGCAGAGAGGTTTAGCGCAGACATGGACTGACATCTGAAAACAAATCTTTTGTGTACGAATTAACACCGACTCCATTTCTCCGACATCTCCGGTGAGTTTAACTTATTTTGAAGACGTGTTTACAACAACCTCACGCGAGGATACGAGCTACAAGTTGTCACTGAGTTGGTCAGTTGTTTAAAACGAACAAATCAGTGCAATCATCCTTCTGTGGGCTGGTGCTTGCAAAGTGTGTGTTTTGAGCAAATTTAGTTTTTCGTTTTTCAGACTTAACATTTATTTTTTCCTGTCTCTGGTGAGGTTTGACTCTTCATTGTCATCCTGTGTCTGTTTACGTTTAGGAGAGCTGAGTATAAATGGATAAACAGCTGAAACACTCAGCAAAACACCCCTGTCAGTGTTACAGATAGTTCCACAAATGCAAAAGCAGCATTACTAATCGTTTCTCTTGCCTGCATTTCTTTTCAGTGATTGATCTTATGCATTCAGAATATTGGGTGGATTCATGTTCAGACATTGAGTCAGGGAAAGTACAAATATTTGCAAGTAAATGTCAATAATAGTCATTTTAGTTGGACAATCTGCCAAGCTAAACATTAATTAAATATTTCTGTTCACTCCAGCAGGTAGTGAGTTGCACAACCTGATGTTCACCATGAACTTTTGTTTATTGTTAATCATTAAACCAGTTCTGGCTGACTGGCTGCCCTTGAACACATACCTAACATTTTTGGACCCATTTTTTTAAAATTAAAAAAACAAACCACCACACTGTCATTTGCCATAAACTATAAATGATGATTCCTGGGTGCGTAATACGTCTGAGCAGCTGTTCTCACATTAAAGACCTGGAGCTGATCCGCCCCTTTATAGTTAAAGGGTTTTTATCTCCTGGGTTGTAACTCAAGCGGAACGTGTGCAGTCACATCAGAATGCACGGCTGAATTTAACAGTTGTCTTAAAGACGTGGAAGCAAGCAAAGTGACATTCCTGTCACTGTTAAATCCTGACTCAGTTGTGGGTGTAGTGAGTGTCACCGCTGCTGCCCTGGAGGGCCTCGCTCAGCTGTGAGAGGTGTTGGCTGCTAAGGCGTTCTTCTCTCCCTCTGCTGATCTAAATGGTACAAAATGGGAGGGACAGTAATTAGCAGATATCGAGGCTCTAGCTGGAAAGTCCAGTGTGTGCTATGTCAACCAGCTTTTGTTTCCAGACAACATATGTGAATGTGGGTGTTGATCAGGTTTTTTTTCCAGTTGCCTTTGCTAAGTCTTTATGTCAGCAGGTCAAAAATGTCACCACTTCATGCCAATGCTTCAGAAAATGTACCTAAGTGGTCATTCAGTTGCAAGGAAATATCAGATTCATACAGTTTTTTATTTTTTTTTTTTGTGTAACTTGATAAGACAAGTGAAAACATTTTTCAGCAGCATGAAAATATTGTTTGTGTCCAACATCAGCTGAAGAAATAACTGCTACTTATCTTCATTACAGTCAGTTGATTAAATTCTGAGGAGAAATACTTCATCTCTTATGTATTTACTCATTTTTGACCCACAGGTATTTATATTTAGTCTGCAAATACTTAAAATGCCTTCATCTTTTAGTTTCTCTATCTGTGGGAATGTGTATTCCCCTTAGGTCACTAAAATCCCCGTAGTCGACAGAAGAATTAGAGGACGTGACCCAAGTGTCCTTGATTGTTGCTGCAGTCGTGAATAAAAGTTATTTTCTGTCATTTTTAAAATTCCACAGACTACATTTGATCTGTTGTTGTGAAACATACACTCGCTCAATGACAGCAAACAGCTCAGAGGCTGCTCTAATTTTTCTAGGAACAGGTTTTGTATCAGACATATTTGAAATCTGAACTATCTTGTAGTGCCAGAGGACTACATTGTTGGCAGTGAATGAGTGTCGTTGTCTGCGTTGGAAACTGGTACCTTCTAATTTACTATTTTACGAGTTAACTATAGCTATGATCGTGTCATTTTGGAGGCTGCTTTGCCAACAGAGACACAGACTTATAAGGGGAAACTTTATTGCTGTATTTACCCATTGCTGTATATGTTTAGTCAAATGTTCTCTAAGATAAGAGAATAATGAAGTTCTTTTCTTCCATGAACACACCTAAACCCGACTGTGCAGCCACAGCTCTGTGATGAATAGGCCGTAAAACAGGTTGTAAAGTTTTTGTTTTGGGATGCAGTATATTGCCCTTGTTTGACATATTTATTCAAAATCCATCCACACAAGAGTTATAACCTGAGTTGATTGGACATTTTTCTTTCATGTCATGTCATGTAAGAACTTTGCTTTAAGTTGCCTTTTGGCCATGGTTTAGTGGATTCATTTTTATTATTTTGTTTCTAAATCTTTTTTTTTTTTTAATGAGGCCTGTGAAAATCCCCGTCCCTGTGTCACTTCAGCAGACGAGAAGTCATACTTCTGCTTTTTGACTGGCATACGTTCCTCATACCTCACCTGCCAGTAGTAATATGCGCAGGATAACAGGCAGGACGCACAAGAATGCAGTGTAGTGCTGCAGCTTGAGACGGCATATCAGTTGTCTTTACACAGATTTTACATGATGTGAAGCATGTCAGGCGTATACGCAGACAAAGAGCTTTTTACTCTCGACTGCTTCATAATAATGGCTGGAATACCAATTAACTAGCAATGCTGGAAACATCACTAGATGCATTCCGAATGTATGTACAGCATTACCTGCGTGCAACAATGCAATCCTCTGCCTTCTGTTGCAGAACTAATTTAGAAAGCAGATCTTGCTACAGCTGTTAGAGCAACAAACATTAACTGAACATCAGTGATAATGTAATTTAAGAGATGGTCTGATAGCACGCTATAGTAATGTTGATTTTTAATACAGATAACCCAAACTATTTTTTTTTCCATGTCTGCAAATTTTGATGAATAAGGACATTTTGAAATGTAGTTATTTTACAGCCAGCCATCAAAACCCCCAAAGATATTTACTATACTGTTATATAAGACAAAGAAAAGCAATACATCATCACATCTGAGAAACTGAAACTAAGGGATGTTTGTCATTTTTGCTTCAAAACTGACTCAACCTCTTTAAAATTAGCCAACATTAGCCACCATAAGCTCCCTGTCCATTGTAACAAACCCTTAGTTGTATTGAATAATCAGTAAGAGCTTTATTGCTCATGAAATGACATTTTCTGTAATCTGTAAAAGCAACATTTGTTTTAGTTCATCTAGATATCATTAATGTCACAAGTAAAACAAATTGCAAGAAACTGATTAATGACCAATGGATTCAAATGGCAAGAATAAAGGAACAGATGAAACAATGTAAACACTGTAGACTGTTGAAAGGGATCAATATGTATGACAAAAATCTATAATTGTAAATATTTAGCTTTTCGGACCTATCCATCTTTATGTATGTATGTTTACTTCATTTAATCCAGGCCACATCTTACGTGTAAATAAATATTCCCTAATTCAACCATTAATTTATTTAATGACTCAATTAGCATAACTAGTTATGTTTAATATATCACGGGAACTGCGGCAGCACATTTGCCTCTTGTTGCATTAATAAGACAGCGATTTACATTATGAGGATCATTTAACTATCAGATGAAATTTAAGGCATTCATTCATCACATTAATGGAAAGATGCTGTTATGTTTACTAACTCATTTTGGAGCTATTTTTATCTTTTTAACTCAGGCTTGTTGTAAGAGATCACTCTTTCCCAAATTGCTAAAGAAATAAAAAACTGTGGAGAACGTGGTGCCTCATAAATGAAATCTGATTTCAGTTTTCGTCCTGTTCTCACATTCTCTCCTTGACTTTTCAGATTCTGACTTTCGGTGAGCTTTACACAATCAAAAGAGGACTGTGAAGCGCAGGTCCTGCCCTCATTCTCTCCCTTGTGCAATGCCGGAGAGTGAGACGTGGCCAGGCGGTGTTGCCATGGAATCCTTGAGCAATATGGATAGTGCAGGGAGCTGCGACAGTGTAATCAGCATGAACTCTGGCTATGTGAGTGCCACTGTAGATCTGCTCATCTCCGCCGTCTGTCCGAGTGCCTCTACTGCTTATCTGTTTGTGTTGTAACATAACCGGTCGACACACTTTTTTCCCCACTACTTTAGAAAATGCTTCTGTCCTTGGATGAAGTAAAAAAATAGGGAAGTGATATTTTAATCAGCTTTAGTGACGTATGCGTGGATGTTTACAGTCAATATGAAAAGGTTAGATGGGACAGCATAAGAGGAAGTGAATCTGTATGAGGTGAGAGGCTCTCAGGCTTGTTCAGTGAGAAGCTGTCAAGAGGTTTGTTTTCTCTGAAGAGGAGGGGATCTCAGTGTGATCTCAGGCACCTGCAGTCATTTGAATTAAATCCTTCTGACAGGACAATACAGAGTGAAAGACCTACACGGGAATGGTATAATTAGTCATTCCTTTGCTTCTTTTTGAACACCTTTGACCTTTTGTTCCTGTCCTGTCATGGCTGTGTTTAGGGTTAAATGGAGAACAGTAATTTGTAAAGTTCAAATGTGTGTATTGTTTTTTTTTTGTTTTTTTTTAAATACCTGTAATGTTTACCTGCATTTTATTGTATGGGCAGAGTGAAGACAGTATGGAGCACCTATCTGCAGAGGAGAGGGCTTGTCTCATGTACCTGGAGGAAACGATTGAAGCACTGGAGGTGCAAGAGGACAGCGGCTTATCCAATGATGAACCAGAGCTTGGATCACAGGCAGAAAAAATGGATCAGATAAGAGTAAATGGTACGCTTCTGTCATCAAATATTCAATTTGGCCTGTTTTCTAAGTTAGCTATGTTTATCTTACAGATAGACATTTTACACCAACAGCACTAACTGCAGTAATGTGCTTTTCCTTATTAGACATTTCCAGTTTGACCTCTGATGGGTCTGGAAGTCATGGAATGTCCACATCAGCTTCCCACTTAGCAGAGTCTGCATCCACAGCATTAAGCATCGAAGGCAAAACTGAACATCACGCTCTAAATCCAACCACTGAACCACAATTCACTCCTGCTTCAGCAGCTGACATTAAAGGTCTTGAATCAAGGGACCTTGTGGCTCAACCCAATCTTCCTGGTTGCACATCAAACACACAGCCTGAGGTGTTGGGTTCAGACGCAGGAGATGTCGATCCAAAGAGTACAGGTGTCCTACTTTCCCCAGGACAGTCCGCTCAGGCCTCTGAGGTTGATGAGGGTCTAATCCCTCCACCTTCAGACTTCATGGATGAACCGGATCCTCCTTCACAGCCAGTGACGGTGGAGGACCTCCTTAAATCTGCTGGAGCGTCCAGCAGCAAATCAGGAGCACCTGTTGACGTGGAGCTGCTACGTCAGAGAGCTTCTGCAAATAAACCCTCAGTGAGCTCCTCTGTGATTGAGCAGCCTTCAAGCAAACTTCCATCAAAAGTGCCTCCCAGTCTGAGTGTACCACTTGTTCCATCCGGCCCCCTGATAAGTCCTCCTCCTGAGGTGGCTGAGCCCAAAAGTCCACCTGTTGTAGCCCCTAAGCCCAAGAAGCTTCCTGCCAACATTATCCTGAAGTCACACAAGGCAGCAGCAGCTGGCTCTAATGGAAATTCAGGACATTCGGTGCCCACCAGCAGTGACCGGCTGGTGTTGGACCCTCAGAGGGTCCGCATGGAGGCCCTCCGGAAGCTCGGTCTGCTGAAAAGCAGTGAGTCAGATTCAGGCCCTGCCTTAAGCCCTAAACTTTCTCCCAAAACTAGAAGGTCATGGGCAGCTCCTTCTCCTCCAATTAGCCCAGCATTTTTACAAACGCCACCCTTAACACCATCTTACAGTAACGTCCACAGCCCACCTCCTACTTCTGTCGCGTCTCCTGCTGCTGTATTACCAACAGCTGCTTCTCCAGCTCCTTCTGTTGAGCCTCCTGATATTCTGCCAGCTCCTGCAGCTTTCAGTGACCCCATCAGTCCTCTGCCTTCAGATAACGAACTGTCTGCTATCAAAGATGTCACAGAGACCACCGTTAATAACCCTCCTCTTACTCCACCTGCCCTGGTCAAGCAGCTAACTCCACCCAGGGTCACCGGCATCAAATCAGCCACCCTTGAGCGCTCTGGCTTGGGTCTAAGCAGTTATAAGGCTGAGGCCGGCCTGGACGTCGGCGGACAGCAGAGCCCCAGCCAGCTGCGTAACACGAGGCCACGTCCCGCCTCTCTGGGGAGTGGGAGAGAGTTTTCAAATGCTAAAGGAGGAGATTTGCAAGCAAAGCCCACCACCAGCAAGGAGCCAGACTCACAGAGGTCCCTGCCTGCCCCAACTGCCCCCCAGCATTCCAGAGACTCTCAGAAACTGCCTCGATCACAAGGCATAAGTGTGCTGATCTGCCCCCGTGCAGAAAATGAAGAGGACCGCCGCGAGGCCCTGAAGAAGCTGGGACTGCTCAGAGACTGAGCCGCATCAGATGCCTTCAGATATTTAAAGGAACATTCCAGAGATTTCTGCATGATTGATGAAGATGTTACAAAACGTTCGGGAAGCAGCTTAACCACATGTTTATGCATTTTCATTTTTAACTGCATTAGCTATCATGTGACTGCATCACATGACTTCTACTCGTTACATATATTGCACAGCCAGATTTTCAGTGTTTTATTTCTTATAAAACTGGTAGTCAAGGACTTTTTGGACATAAATTGGCTGTCAGTGTAGCTGTGCTGTTTGTAAATGCAATTACTTGTAAGAGAAAGCGATGAGCTTTTCAGCATTTCAGTGTGTCTTGTGATCTACAGGTATGAACATTTTCCACGTGACTGTCTGCTTATATAATTTGTTTCATGGTTACCATTGTGTGGCAGGGTCCCTTCATAGTTCTCCTTTTTAGACAGTTTCAAACATCACTGGTGGTAAGATTTTCACTTCCTCCATTCTGTTGGATATTTAGTCTGTCTTTGTTTTTTTCAGCACTTGTTAGTATTCACATTTTTGTGTATTTATTATGAAGTGTATTGGAAATGTTTCCTCAGTGCAGATTGCATCAGTTGCAAAATGTAGAAAGTATGTCCTGCATTATTGAAACATACTTTGCTGTAACTTAAAGCACATAGTTGGTGGCCAGTTGGTGATAAGAATCTGAGACGTGTGGTTGCGCAGCTGAACAATGACGTACTTGTCAAAACTTACAAGCTTGTAGCACAGCAGCTGCACTGGTGTTCAAAGAACGTGCATCATTCCTTAAATTTGTAATTGTCATCGAATAAATATTTGGTTCTATTTCTTACAGATTGCATTCGATAAGATTAAAGTGTAGATAATGTAATGTTGGATCAGCTGCTATAGCTGTGACATAATAGAAGTGTCCTCTGCAGAAGCCTTTCCTTGTGTCAGGATGTCATCTTTTGAACTTTTCATTTAGTTTTCCAGGTAAACTGACAAACTGAAGAAATTTGAGGACTTCTGATAACATTTCAGCCATAAATATTTACCAAAACTGTTGTATAAAGGCTGCACATTTTTAAATACTTTAAGAGACGCTGTCAATTAACAGTTAGTTCTGCTTAACCATTAATAAATATGTATTGCTTATATTTCCATTTGTGATGCTAGTCATTAATGTAACACACCGTAGCAAAAATGATGCTCTTTCCTTGACACCAGTATATGTTTCGTGAGTCTTTGAGCCTGTGAGTTGCAAGCATTATTAGTCTTTTGCTTGTTTTTTGTTTTATTTTCTTCTTTCCTTTAATCATCCCTCAGTGTCCACAGGTCACACATTCTCTTCACATACACTTGGAACATGTCACATTTATTTTTCTTTGGTAATTTATGAAGCCCTCGTGTGTCACGTCAAATCACAAATCGAGGCACTAGTTTTGTCGCTCAGCTTCTGCATCTTTATCTGATGTGATGTTGAGAGAACTGGTGCTACCTGTTTTTTCACCTCCACTTTTAGCTCTTACGGAACACCTTCGCTGCTCACGGCAGCTCGTTTTTGAACAGCTTGAAACACATGTTATCGCTGCAGCAGGCTTTTAAAGACAAATTGATTTGCTCTTTTCCGTAATTTGCACTTAAGGTCACCTACTGCTGTAAAAATTAAGCTCAACTTGAAAAAGATCTCTCTTCATAGGTTTTAACACCAGGGTGCTGAACTGCAGAGTTCACAGAGAACGCAGCGAAAGTTTTGAGTTGGCTCACTCTTCTGTTTTTGGTCTAGAACATAGCTTTCAAGACAATGCTGCCACATTCAAAAGTCTCCAGCATTTTTGTGGTAGCACAGCATGGTGTTTCCAAACTGGGACCGATGACTCATCTTTAAAAGTGCAATTAGACGTAACACTAAGGTGTGCTGTCTGTGTCTGTGCCAAGTGCCACTTTGTGTCATTGTTGTGATTCATTGAGCCCAACCCTGAATACCATTATTTCTTAAGCATTTTTATTGTCTTCATCACATCCAAGATGTCTTCTCACCGTGAATTTGTAGCCATTATGTAATTGGCATGTCTATAAACAGAATATTTTCATATGTTTTTGTGTATATTTTACCCATGTTCTTTTTTTCTACGAACGTAAACCATTGACCAGTTTCTGTCAGGGGAAGTTTTAACAGGAGCCAAGTGGAAAAAGATTTTGAATATTGTTTTGAATATTTTAGATAAAAAGATAAAGCGCATGTGTATAAATTATGATGAATTGGACACGACTCGTACTGTCAAAACCGACACCAAAAGGTACTAGCAGGTAAAATAGAAGTGCTTAACTTACAGCGAACATCCTCTTTCACAGCGAAGCCAAGAGAAGAGGAAGCAGCAACGTGCTGTCTGACTAACATGGGTATCTTTGTGCTGCTCTGTGGCATGTTGGTATGTGAGCTATCTTTCCTTTCCACCTGACAGTAGACCTGACTGACAAGGACTCAGGAGCAGCAGCTGTCACTTTCACTGCCACCCCCAGAGGCATCATAGATCAGCTGCAAAGAATAACATACCGCAGCAGTCTGCATACCTTCCTCACGGTTCCTGCATTTACAGTGCAAATAAGTTACAAAGATGGAATTTCAGAAGAAGATAAAAACTTTACAGGTCTTTTAATAACGGTATGCAGCAATGTCAGATAATAAGGACAACGTGTGAACACCTGTGCATCACTCTGCAGCACAGCTTTTCAAACTGTGGAGCACGCCTCCTCAGTTGAAGGTGGCAAAGACACTACAACAGTAAGTTGGGGTGAAAGGGAGTTCTGATTTGAGCCCCCCTAATCAGCTTGGTCAGCCACTGGATCAGCAGTGGATGAGACGCACAGCTTCTGGAGACATTTATGGTAAAGTACAACCGTGCACACTTGTGTGCTGCAGCTTTTGTGTGTATCTGAGCTAGAATTGCCTCAAATCTGAGCATGCCTCCACACAGCTTAGATTGACTGATTTGCACACTTTTAAGGATATCGGTGTCCAGGATGTTCACAGGGGCGGTGCTAAGAGGTGGCCTTGGGTGGCCACTCAACACAACCAGTAGTGCAGTCTGATTCACCAGATGGAGGATGCAGGTATAAGCCAGCCAATAACTGCTCTGGTCAGCAGGCTTTGCCCTCTCCTTACATTATCTCTGTGTTACCATTTGCAATACTCACTTCTCTATGGCATCAACAACTTCCAGGCAGCAACTTTACCATACTGACAGTTTTAAGTTTTGTCAAGGATTTGGGTCATGCAGCATGGCAACTTTGTATTTTTTCTGTGATCTATTACACGTTTTAATCACAGTGCTCGCCTCCCTGCATGCAAATATTCCACTGTAATAATTCCATCATCACGATTTTTGAGAATTTTGATATTGAAGACTGCAATTGGTTTAACAAAGTACAGACAAGTCAGACTGTTATTTTACCTTGATAGTGTGGTGCAGCCAGATAATCGTGCTGCAGAATGGGCTGGCTAAGCAAGACTGCTAACAGTGACGCCCATTAGAGGGCTACAGACATATTCATAGAACTGTAGTTATAATGTAATTTAAACTGTAATGTCAACAATTCAAAAACCAATATGGAACAACTATTCCAGAATTTTTCTTATCAGTTGAGGGTTACATAAAAAAAAAAGCTCATGATTTCTACTTTTTCATGTCAGCCATGCCTGCACAAGCAAATAATAAATGTAAACGAGTACAAAAATGGACTATTTTGTCTGCAGCAATTTGCCAAAAAAATGGCAAGATAACAGGTTTTGTGCCACCTCAGTGGTAATGGTTTCAGTCTGGCCACCCCTATGTAAACTGTCTGTCTGCGTCTCTGAATGTCCATCGCTGATAAACACTCAGCTTATCTCCAGAACTTACCTGAGAAGCATCATGTGTTTAAGTTTTCAGTATACAAATAATCCAGTGATTGTTTTCTTTACATTCATAGGTCGACTGCAAACAGTAACTGCTAACAGTCCATTCTCATTGTTGCAATCATGCAAAAAAATAGATATAGACTAAAAACTGTACAGGGCTTGAGCTGTAGCCTGCAGCTGATGAGTAACAGGGTTTTTACTGCATAGAGGGATGTTTGGAGGACTGCAAAGAGATTTTAGCCAGTTCAAAAAAATAAAATAAAATCACCAGCAGCAAAGTGATGAGAACTAAATTATATATATATATATTTTTTTTAATGTCAAGTTTTGATGACTGGAACTTCATTTGCTCAAGTTTATGATACAATTTTGTTTATTAAATGCTCTCAAATAACAGAAGAAAAAAAAAAAGATTTCCATCATTTAGGTAACGCAGACTCACTGCCTTTACTGTCAGTGGGCTGATCTTATTGTTGCGTGACGTTATTCCCCAAAGGTCAATTATGTGCCAGAAAAAAATACATTGATTTGCTTTTTTTTTTTCTGAATGTCTGGAGGACATTTTGACTTGTCATAGCAGGACAGCTGTGTTAATGATGGCTGTGTCCACTTAGGGAAGGCCCTGCTGCTGTGCATGCTGGTTCACTGTCATAGTTTACCCCAGTGGAACTGAATCATTATCAGTGTTATTGATTCCTTCTGCTGGGACCAATCAAAATGTTTTTTTTGACAAAGGTCTGTTGTGTCAGTTTTGTCTAAACGAGGGCTCACAGTGTCAGAATTTACAAACCCAAAGCCCACTAGAGGGCAGTCTAGATTCATGTGTATGTGTACCAGTACAACCACTAAGGCTGCAACCAGATTTACCCACTGTAGTATGTTGGACAGCATTTTAATAATGTGCACATTCTTTTCTCATCTCATTCTTGTAAACACTCTGCAAACAAACTCAACCTTTTACACAGAGGAAAAGGGTGAATTTAATGTGTTTACTTCTCCTGCCTATCACAACTAACAGGAATCCAGACGTAGAGAAAATACAAAAGTGGGGTTTTCTGTATGCCAGTGATTTATTACAGTAATGTCTTGTGTTTGCGTACTTCTTATGTTTTCTCGTCGAGTTCCCGCAAAGTCGTCTCACCACACTCATTTATGAATCGTACAGCAGCAGACAATGTGCTGTCAGTGAGGATTAGACTTTAGATGCTGTAGATCTGGTTCATGGTAAATAGTAATGTCATCATTTTAACATCTGCCACACAAAAGCTGAGCAATAAGACAGCTTTTCCTTTAATTTGGCCAAAGGGCAATAATTTTTGCATTAAGCGACTCTGTACTGCGGAAAATGCTAAGCTAAAAAAAAAAACAAAAACCTCTAACTCAATTTCCATTTTTATGTGCCTCATACTTCCAAGTCTTTTTGAAGCTCAGTTATTCAAAATGTGGAAATATTTTGGGATTTTGCCTTTGCAATAATGACATTTGGTTCAGTAATTAAAATGAATTTGGTTCAGCTGTTGACCCATGAAACATCTCATAAAACTGCCTTTTGCAGGGGAAGCAGGACCTGTTGCATTTTAGATTTTTTAAATTTTCTTTACAGACCTTTATTCCTTCAAGCTTGGGAAGGAATATGTTTTGTTTAATAGTTTGTTTTTTTCTGTACTGCTCATGAGGCCAGACTCATTATGGAATGATCTGGCTAAGCGGGACTAAACTCGGCCTGAACCAGTGTGACTCTCTTGATCCTGAGCTGCAGTTTTTTTTTTTTCTTTTTTCTTTTTCTAACTTTCCAAACAGAACTGCTTTGCTGTCAGGAAATGATTCATATCAGAGTATTAGAGAAGAATGTAAGAAGTGAATGTGGGCGATTTGCTGGAAGGTTTTACTCATCAGTGTCACAATGACCCTCGAATATAATCGTCATGTGTGCTGAGCTACGTGAGCCTTAAATGGTTTGAATGGGATCTGAAACTTGGCATATCACGAGTTAGATGAGTGCTGCACAACCCCGACAAGCTTGAAAGTTTAGCAATATTTGGTGTTTTATGTTGCACAGATGGGCAGAAACTCCACAAAGCTCCTCGGAGACACTCCCTGGAGTTACTGTAGCTGTTGGAGCAGGTAGGCGTAGCTGCTGCGCTATCTGGCTAGACAGTGAACTCATGGGACTTCCCCGCTGCCCTGGTCCTGTTCTGTACTTACCTACTTACATAGCGTCTGCCTGAAAGGAGGGCTGCGGAAAACCTTGTCCCTTTCTCCACATGCGTGTTGATCATTGAGGATTAGTGGAGACAAAGTGGCACAGAGCCACTGCTGAGTGCGCTGGGGTTTAAGCATGCCCAGCCCAGTTCTGTGTCATCAAAAGAGTTTGCTTAAAATATATGGGTATTATCTCTCTCTCCTTTTTTCTTTTTTGGGTGTGTATGTGTGCCTTCAGATAGCTAGTGTGCACAATTTAGTTGTATGATGATGATGATGGATACTCTGAATGATACAGGCTCAGTAAGAATTAAATTTATAATCTTGACAGGACAAAAATCTTTCCTCTCTGTCTCATTTGATCTCGATGGCTCCACTTGATTACAGGTGTTCGCACACAGGAGATAGAGTCCGAGCCCACGCCTCCAGTACCCGCACGCTCAATCACGCAGCTAACAAGCCCGTCTGTGTCTCGTCTACCTGCCTGCTGCAGCGACATAAGACTCAGGTAATATGCCTAGGACTCTTCCTCGGGAGGGAAACAAGCCCTCATAACCCAGAGCCTGACAGCACAGTCATGATAACACTCACATCCAGTGCTGGTGACATTCCAAATGCAGCTAAATGCCTCTTGGTTGTTTTCATCCGTGATGCTACAGAGGGAAGCTTTGACAGGCAGGAATAAGTCTCTCAGTTAGTTAAGGTGTCTGTGTGTGACACCTTAGTTCCTTCTGACTTGATAACTGTATTTCCTTTTTTTTTTTCCCCCTCCCAGCCTCTCTTGCTCCCTGTTAGTGCCAGTGACTGAAGCTGTGGTCAGGAGGCATTCCTGGGGCAAGCCCACAGTGCTCGCTGGGATGCCTGTACTAAAGTGTGGAACTCAGCAAGCCACTCTGCTCCCCTGTGGTGCTGGCATGGTGAGTACCAAGACATCCTGCTGGGCCTGCGGTGGTGTTGGTAACCTCGCATATGAAGAGAGTAAAAAAAAAAAAAAAAAAAGGGGAAGAAAGAGGGAAAAGTTCTGCGCTCCGAGTCTTGGCATTTTCACACATAAATCTTTTAAACAATTGGGGAGCATAAACGTCAAACTGGAAGAAGGTAAATGAGGAGCTGAGGTGATGCGTCCCCGTGTATGACCATCTGGAGGAGAACATTAGGCTCTCTGCAGGGCTTCTAACTCCTCAGTTCATTAGCATGCAGTGTAGTACAGTGGTGGCTCTCACAGTTGCCTACCAACATGCATCCATCTTGCATTTATCTTCCAGCAACAGCTGTTGGAGCAGTGTTTGACTTTGATATTTTGGAGAAGTACATTGTACCAACACCCTCTAAAACAACTGGTTGCTGGGTTGTTTTTTTTTTTATCACTTCCTAATTTTTGAGAAGTGGAAATTTTGGAGTTGTTGGAACAGCTGTGGCAGCCGTTAAATGTGGTTTATCTCTGACAATCATAAAATTTTCATAAAGATCCAAATGGCACCTTGCTTCAGCTCTTTCAAAGAAAAAACTTCAAATAAATGTTCAAATTCAGGGAAATCTAATAAAAGAAACACGTCTGTTCACTCAGTGTAAAACAGCTCACGGCAGGTTGTGGTCAGCTACTCTGCAGCTAATCTCCTGAACATGTTGCATACGGACGGTCTCAGCCTAATTTGAGTTTTTATTTTTTTTCTCCCCATGAAGAATCCTCACTGCTCTCTTGACACCTTCCTTGCTCTCCGACTTTTCTTTACCCAGTGTGCAGCTGGAGTCCTTTTCACGACGAGAATCATAAATTAAACAATGCCTCGGTTTCCCTTGTGTGTCTGTTGGTGTAAAAATAGCTGGGTTTGGTGCACAGTGTGATGCCCGTGCGCAGCCCTCTGTCTTTAATGAAGTGTTGCCACGAAAAGTGTACTGATCCTCCAGTGCGACATGTGTTCAGGATCTGTGGCAACCGTGTGCTGACTTTCTCAAACTCCCAGAGTGACTCTGAGCTCATTTGGTTATACAAGTGCTCACAATTACCCAGAGATTTGGACACAGGGACATGGGATATTTCCATATCCCTGACGGATGTTATTTTAATTACACCGAGCTGCTTGACTTTGTGCTGTGGATTTACATGTTTTTTCTTCTTCTGTGGATGCAAAGAGGGATTCTTTGAAGGTTACTGTGTTCTACTGAATCTCTTATTTATTGAGGCTCCAAATCTTGGCAAAACATCGGGTAGCATGCGGAAGTCTTATTAAATTACATTGTTTATGAAATATCGGTCTTTGAATCTGAGATAATTACAATTTCATGTGTAATCTGTAAAGTGCAGGTAATGACAACATTCTGATAAGATACAAGATAATGAAAACTAATCCTCTGTCCTCCTTTTCTGCCCTCAGCCATTTCGGATTGTGTGTGTCAAATTCTCTGCATCATCTGAAGAAAAGCAGAGTTGTTATCTCCAATCAGCCTCATTGTGGGGCCCTAATTATATTTGATTGAGAGAGTAAAAAAAAATTACACACGGGAGCAGGAGTGATAATTATGGTGTAGGATCTGCCCGTACGTTCAAACGCAAACATAAATGCATCAACACGGCTGATTAATTTAGGTGATAATGCAGAAGAAGGTAGCAGGTGTGTGGATGCAGATGCTGTTCCTCCGTAGGACGCTCCCCGAAAACAAATGTTTCACATGTCACTGCTGGTGAAATGTGGCACAGTGGCTCGGTGGGTTGTGCTGCTGGTAATGTGAGCGAGGTCCGCTTTGATTCATGTAACTCTTCAAGCCTCATTCCTCTTCAGGCTTTGGGGGTAATGGTGTGCATAGAGTTACTCTGGATCACTTATTTGTAGGAATGACCGATGGTGGAGCATCTTTAACCCTAAAGTCCAACTTCAAAAACATGCTGATGGTGTTTTATCTTCATTTAGTTAAACGAAATATTGGCTTAACGTGTATTTGTACAATACACTTCAGAAACATCTAAGTGAATGTCAATTTTACTGACTTCTGACACAAAAAAATCAATGAGAAATGTGGCAGCTGAGTTAAATCTCCTGCAGCAACATGCTCAAAATTGGTAAGCGCATAATATGGTGTTGGTTATGGTTTTGGACTTGGATGACACAAAGCACAATTTGCATTCAGGTTTGTGTTTTTGGTTCCAGATGATTCTCATAAAGCTTTCACCAAAGTTCCTGTAAACAATTACTGATTGTTAGTTTTCATACCTGAAGAATTGATTCATCTTGAGCTGTATTTTGAACAGCTGGTGTAGCTTATTCATTTAACATTTTAACTTAATACCAACAAGGCTTGTTTAATTTCCTTTATGTGCATATTTTAATATGCAAGGTACATATTCGGTTGAATTTTCAGCTCTATATGCGGGTCCAGCTCCTTCTATAACAGGGAAGAGAAATTGCTTAAGGCCCCCAATTGACCTTGGAATAAGGATGATATGGGAGGAAATCGGCAGAGGTATCAAATAATAATAAAGAAATGTAGGTTTTCATTTTTCCATTCTCAAATAAGCTCTGCAATTTAGTGTTTAAATCTGTAAGTTGAACTTTTAACACCATTCAGTGTGCAGGTATTGCATAGATAAGTTAAAAATGAGTTTAGTCTAAGTTTTTTTCCCTCCAAATTAAATAATTTTGTTAAGAATGCCATTAAAATGTAGCAGTTTTTTAGTCTTGATTGGACTTTTTCGACATGTCAACATGTGCAGGCAAATGGTTTCAGTTTAGCATCAGTAAGCAGGCATCATGGCATCAGTGCTGCACCCGTGAAACAATGACAACAGGCACTTTATTGGTTTGTTAGTGGGACTGGATGAGCTCTACAGTCTGCTGGAAAGAACAAAATGCAATCTCCAGGCCATTATTTTCCCCATCTGAGTCATTTATAAATCCATCCGCCCTCTTGTCCTCCTTTTTTTTTTTTTTTTTACATTTTACGCACAGGTGGCACCAACCAAGTGGCCACACGAACCCGACGCACCGTGCACGTGGTAACCCTGGTCCACCTCGAGTCTAACCAGCACCTGCGTGGAAATTCCTGCAGAACGAACAAAAAAAAAGGGGGGAAAAAAAGGAAACTGTGAGCCAGTCAGAGAGGAGAAGTGGCAGCAGAGAGGAGTCCGGAGCGCAGCGCGGACGCGTCTTCTTCTCTCCTCCCCCTTCAGACCCCGCCGCTGCACTCCATCTCTCTCTCTCTCTCTCGCTCTCTCTCTCTCTCTCTCTTTCCCTTTCTTAAATTGACATTGGTCTGGCTCGAAACATGATAACAGAAAAGCCTTCCTCCGCTCCGCGTTGTCGGGCTGTCCTCAACCCCGATCACTTGAAACTCAAATAAGCAGGCGTTCAGAGGAAAAAAAAAAAAAAAGAAAAAGAAAAAGAAAACAGAGGATCGCACACTATCCTGTCAGCTGGTGCTCAGAGGGAATAACAAGAAACCTTTATATCACACTCACGCACCCTTGTATGTGCTCTTGCGTATCGTAGAAAGTGCTCGTGTTGAACTACAGTGAAAGTTAACATGTATGTGCACGCTTTGATACGCGCAAGCCTTGGATTTGTAGGTTTCTGCTTGGTCGCCTTTGTCCAACAGTCAGCTTCAGGAAGTAAAACCACTCAAGGTAAGTTTTCACCTCAAAATACCTTTTTATTTTAGCCATAGTGGCTGGGAATGAGCTGGTTGGATTGCTGGATGCTTAATTAATGGATCTATATGACTCCTGTGGACAGCTGCTAATGTTTGCCTTCATATATGTGCTTTAAAACATGTTAAAAAATAGAACATTTGTGTCAAGAAGTGAGCAAAAGTGAAGTTTTTGAGACTCTTTGATGCTTCAGTTTGATTCAAGCCTTGTGTTGATTCAGTGCCTTATTTTGCAATCATAATTGTTGTTGTGTTAGTGTGCTCAGTTGCTTATATTTATGCAGAGTTGCCAAGACAGAAAACAGAGGAAACATAATGAGGCTCAAATTAAGTTTCACTGAGAGTTTGCTGCTGTCAGAATAAAACTAAAAAAAACTTGTCTTTGATCTTCAGACAGCATCAGCAGCGTGAACAGTTATGTTTCATAGCTAATCCTGCAGGTAATTGTAGTGAGACCACAAGGAGGTATTTGTCACAGTCCAGACAACTATTTGACACCGGCCTGCAACACACACATGGAGGAGCCTTCAGTCTGTCAGACACTGCAGCTACAGTACCGTCCTGCCCAGCCGGCTGCCCTCTTGCTCTCTTTTTCTTGTGAGAATTTATTCAGACCAGACAAGGGGAGGAAGGAGGAGGGTGGGGGGGGGCAGCCTGAATCAAAACTCCTGGCACCTCTCAGGGAACAAGACGGACGTGGCGTTTACACACTCAATTTCTGATCTGCTCAGCCCTCTCCTGCAGGTTTTCATCACTTAATTTTCCCACAATACAAACGCCAAGCCGGAGCTGCCAGAAGTATTTGCATGCAAAGACACATCATGGTTCCTGTGTGAGTGTTGATTGTGGTCGGTGATGTTTTGCACTCACAAAAAGACATCTTCTCAGGCGGTCGACAAGGCAAAAAAAAAAAAAAAAAAGAAGAAGAAGGAGAAAGGGGGTGGGTGACTATTTTGCATCCTGGGTGGTCTGCCCCCACTTGTGGGAAAACTCAATATTTACATTTTGCAATTAGAACTACTTTTTTCTCACTTTATTTTCCACAACATCGATTACACACTTCCTTGTCGTGTGGAATGCTGCTGTATGAGAGCTTCTAATGACATGCACCTGTTTGTTGGTCACCGAGTGAAAGGCAGGCTGACGACCGCTTGATAGGGCTTCTGCCAGCGCGAGCTCCGCAGCGATGTATTATCTGCGAGTTATTTGTGAGCATATTTTGCGCCTAACCGAAAATAAATATCCCATTTGATGTCGGTGGCAACTCTGTGGTACCGGCAACTCTGCAAGCTGGGAACAATTTTGAAAAATGGGGGAACAGTGGGATGAACAATGACTGAGGGTGGGGAGGACAAAAAAAAAAAAAAAGAAGCACAATTTGTCAGCTCAATATTTATTCAACGCAGATGTTGTCTTTCATCAGTGTCAGTCTAATCATGGCACTGCGTTTCAGGCATCAGTCATTACTCTAGGAAGGGGGAAGAAGAAGAAGAAAAAAAAAAGCAAAAGAGCAGAGGAATGAGGGAGGGAAGATTTGAAGATGTGGTGGAGAGAATGACAAAGACGGGAAAAATGAGACCAGGGGGAAACAGGAGAGATTAAATGTGCAGAGGGAGAGAGAGAGAGAGAGAGAGAGAAGAGGTTTCTTAGTGAGCGAGCAGCAACAAGCGAGAAAAAGAGAACGAAAGAGGGGAGCCACAGACGTCATGGCAAATCACTCTCTCTCGAAACAGAGTCAGGAGCTCTTTGCTAATGCAGCGGCACCAAGGCAACGGTTGGTGTGGGGCTGACATGCTGCTGTGGCTGGCTGTGTTGGTGTAACCTCTGCTCCGGGGCCTGGGGGTCTAAAGACGCAGGGCTGCCCGAGTGGGGAGGAAGGCCACATGCGGGCCCTGACACACTGTGGGAACCGAGCAGCCTTGGCCAACATGAGGCCCAAGCGACGGGGGACGCTTACCTAGAGATGCTGCCCGAGTCTCCACTGTGAGCAAGACGGAAGGGAAGAAGAAACTCCCCCCTCCTCCTCCTTCTTCTCCTCCTCCTCCTCCCTAACACTCACCCTCTTTCCTTTTTCACCCAACTCCTGCTTTGTTTGCTTTGTCCTCGCTTCCTTTCCTTTACACTTAATGCAGTAGCTGTGCTTTTTTTTTTTTCCTCTATCAAACATAAGTGAAGACTGCAGTACACCCACCGTGTCAGAAAGCTCCCTGTCAGCCAATGTGCTAATTATATTTCTGCAACAACAAAAGAAACAAAAAAAAAAAGAAGAGATGTGCACAGTTCCCCCTCTGCCCTCTTTGCTTCCTTTCTCCAGCCCTGTTCAGTCCATTTTTGTTACTTGATAGAAGGCTGGATGAGCTGCGGGTCTGAGTAAGGATGTGAGCATCGCTATTAGTGTATGTGTGAAATGGGACAGTGAGAGAGTGTTGTGTCTGCTCTGCGTCTTAGTAATTTGGACAGGTCTTTGAAACTGTATGTAAAGCCACATGAAAGAGCCGTTTAAATGGAGCTTTTATTTCTGCTTATCCAGTTGGCCTTGAACTTCTATGAGAGTGTGCAGTTTAGCAGAAAGACAGAGGAGTAAAAGAAAAAAAGAAAAGATGACAGGCAGCCAGAGACTGTGGCACTTTCTTCTAAGAATATGGCCAGTCATCTGGCTTTGACATATTGACACCACTTTGGCATTTCTCTTTCATCACCTCCACTGTTATTTCTCAGGCTGCGAGGTTTCTGCATTGCCCCGTGAGTCCTTACAAGCTCCTGCAGTGGTATTTGTCCAAGTTGTTGCACTTATCCCCCCCGAGAGGCTGGATGTGCCTTAAAAACAAGCAGACGCAAAAGTCCCTATTTGTCTGCCAAGGTGCCGAGCACAGTTTTTGGCGAAGTAATTTTTAACAGCGGGCGAGTGGAAGATGTATTCAGGTCAACCTGGAAGAAAAGACTTCTTCTGTCTCGACTGGGCCGCTCCGTGACTTTGAGAAATGAATCACATTGTGGATCAGGACGTTGCAGCATGGATCACTTGTTGACAAAGTCACCCTTTAATTTCTACTTTTCACCAAGCCCAATTAAAGCAAACAAGCTCCTAACCTGCAAATGCCTTCTTTTTTTCTTCCCCTAAACAAAAAGAACCCCCTTGTGATGACATAAGCCGAGCTTGTCTCAGTCTGTCTCCTCTCTCTGCAGCAGGCACGCGGTGTCAGATAGTCGTGTTCTCGTTATGATCAGAGAGTCGGAGGCAGGTCGAGCCTCGGGGTAGCCCTCGGTCAGTGGCTGATGAGTGGGTGGAGGGGACCGATTCCAGCTTCGCATTACTACTCAGCAGACACACTCAGAAAGCATCTGCCTGACAAGTGGTGCTCCAACACCGCTGTACATGTTGTTACAAAGCAGCCAAGAGAGGGAGAGATTATTATCTTGGCATTACTTGAGTGGTGAAAACACTTGATAACAATTCTGTCCAGGAGCTATGCGGTATGAATCACGAAAACGACTTTTATCCGCGGGTGCGCTGTGGGGATAAGTGAATGTGTATGACTGCGATGAGTGATTTTAGACTGGATATTAATGATTGCACTTAGCAGGCAGAAGTGCTTTCACTTCTCAAAATGAGGCTCCATTATGGCTGCAGAATCCTTTGAAAACGGTTCAGGTTTATTGTGCCTTGGTTTTTTTTTCTTCTTTTAATTCACAGGCTTCTGTGCGGCCGAGGTGCAGCTTGATACAAACATTTTAATTTAGTGTTAGGGCGGGTAGGCAGGCTGCAGAGCGGGTACCATGTTTACAGGCACACGTAAAGTCAGAGATGTCTGGCACAAGCTGTGACCCGAGGCGATTCAGTGGGCCTTCGTTCTGGACAGTTGCTCACTTTCATCCTGGCCGACGGATTTTCCTCACAAAGAGTCAAAGATTCCAACCTTAAGAAATTAGACTTTCCTCCTCAAGGTCCTTTTTAATAAGTGCACTTGGCAAATTGTTAACTTTTAATCAGCAATTTCCTAATTTTTCTTGTAAAAATAATGAGCTGCATATTTTCCAGTCTTTCTTTAAGAAAATGAAAAATGGACTCAGACGTTATCACCATCATACAACTATGTATCTGTGGCTTTAATTGAAAGAAGTAGTGAAACAACAGTCGGAAAATACACTTATTTACTTTGTCTTGGAGCGTTACACCACTCTCTGTATGTTTAATGTAAGCCAGCAGTTGGTTAGCGTAGCTTAGCACAGGGAACCAGGGTGCCCAGCTCTGTCAGATTGTTGCAAAATAGGAGAATCTCAAAAGCTCGCTAATTAACACATCATATGATAAATCCGACCTGGTGACTTCAGACTTCCTGGAGTCTCAGCTGGTTGCCCGGCAACTGCTCAGAGCTGCGATACAGTTTGACACGTAACGCCCCCCCCAGAAACACAGAGTCGTCAATATCACACTTTGCTTTTTGTATAGATTTAGCAAACAAGTTAATTAGTGGGCTTTGAGATGCCGACCACACTGAGCCAGCCTTTTTTCTAATATTTACAGTCCTTATGGTAAAGTAAGCTAGCTCTGTCATGAAGAACAAATGATATCCTACAAATATCAAACATTTGTTTTAAAGTGTCCTGGAAGTGGTTTGTGCTTGACCGTGGGGTGCGTGCTTGTGGTCCGATTTCTCTTTTGCATATTCGTGTAACCTTCATCTGAATTTGAACAATTACTTTCTTTTTCCACTTTTTGTAAGCCGTACAAACCTTAGGTCGGTCACAGCCAAACAAAACCATAACCTGTGGACAGTGCAGATTTCTTGTCGCTGCCCAGGGGAACCCATCAGCTATTGAGACCCCTCTGTCATGCTACCTTTTCACCCTTCCTCGAGCAGAAAATCACTTTATCAGCAGCTGGCGAGGCCCTTGTGACCGCTATTTGTCACCTAATTTAGAATGGTTGCAGGGCTGACAGAGCTGTAGATTTCAGGTGCAACAGAGGGAGGAGGG